GGGGATTGGACACAGGAGAGCTTGGGTGCTGGGGAGGGGGGCAATATACAGGGAGGGAGGGGGAAGTGGAAGAACAGGGCAGATGGGAGAACAATTGGGCATGTTTGAAAGGGCTAAATGGGACAGAGATAAAGGATGATATATGCACAGCCTTGGAACTGCAGGGCCCTGAGATACAGGGATTGAGTCATGGTTGGATTGGGGGGAATCATGTTAAGATGCTTGGCTGTTTTTTGAATCTTGGTTTTCCTTGCCTTATAATATAGAGTAGACACTGGATGGGGAGAGAAAGGAATAGTCAGAAACATCACACTAGAAGGCTTGTAAGTCCGTCTTCTGCCTATAACTGATTGGAATACCTGAAATGGGGCTACAGCGTACCCAATGAACTAGGCTTCCTGCGTAGCCTTTGCAATACATAAAACTATAGGTAGAAACCTGAACCACATCTAGGTCTCCAGAGATGAGAAATCTCCACTTGAAAGGACGAGCAGACCAGCCTGGAGCAGCTAGAAGAATAAAAGATACCTCTTGAAAGAAAGACCTGCAGGAAAAATGGAGGCAGATAGACTGTTACTACAAGAACAAACAAATCGCTTCCCCAGGAAACATCAAGGCAAGTGGTCGGGTCCCCTCAATGCAAACCCCCTTCCAAGACTAAGACTCAATGGAAATACATGCACTGATTGGTGACCACATGCATCACCGATAGGGGGAAGTGGGGTAAAAGCAGCAATGAAGCAGCAAGCTAAGCCTTAAAATGTTCAGTGGGCTTCTGTGGACCCAGTTGGGGACCTAGTTGGCAAGCAGCGTGAGGAGACCTGGGGACTCTTGGGCCCAGAGTCAGTGGCGTGGCCACGGAGGACTCGAGTAGAGAGTGGAGCTACCGGCTGATGGGAAGAGAGGGCATGTGCACAAGAATGCCCACACTTGCCGATGGTACCCACGTGACCTGGGCCGGATGACTGGATGATCAGAGCTCAACCAGGAGAAGAAAGAAGAGGAAAAAAAAGAGTGAGCTGATACAATCTGATGAACTTGACCTACACCTATGGATGCAGTGACTCAAAAGAAGGATCAAATCCTTACAGCAAGAAACATCCCCACCCCCCTCCACACAGTAGACAGAGATGGGCAACTTGGACATTGGATACCCAAATGGGGAGGGGAGTTCTACAAAGGCAAGAAGTGACTGGCTTACAAGCTTTCAAGAGGGAACCTAGAGCTAGGGGGCATGGAGGAAGGCAGAATCTCCAGTGAGTACTATCCAATCTGTCTAGGCGGAGCTGATGAAATGAAATACAGATGGGTAACTCGTGATACTGTAGTGAATAATGGTTATCAGGATTGATTATGAGGGTTGGAAATGCAAAGGTAGACGCTTTGTAGCAAGGAAGGGAGTGATTAATTCTCCAGTTTAGGAGCGGAGGTCTCTAGGACCATCAACATCAATGGAGAAGAGCCGAGAGCGGGACCCTACCCAGAGAACCAGAGATGCCTGAGATAGAGACAGAGACAATGACGTGGAGTGATGAAGTGGCTGGGGACTTTGGATCCAAAGAGGGAGAGGGACTGTGGGCTGAAGACTGGGGGGGAGGGGGGAGTGTAGGGGGTGGGTTTCTAGGGTATACCCTTTGGTCAGTTGATGCATGAAGGGGATTGGAACCATGGCAATGAAATGATATACGATGGAATGAATGTAAAACTAAAGTTCTCTCATGTAAACTATCATATAATTCACAATAAAACATTAAAAAAAATTAATCAAAGGAGTTTAGACAGGAAATCAGGCAAATAATTCTGGATGTTGCTGCATGGCATTGTGGTATATTTCCCAGTGGTGATAGCTGCAACTGAATTAAAGGATAATTGGAATGGGATTTGTTAGGCCTTAGAAGACGTGAGGAACCAGGTCAGAGCACGGAAGATACCAGCAGACCTACATCTCCCCTCAGGAACACGTCATCCACGTTTGGGAGGAGACAGGCTCTCGGTTCCACAACTGCTTGATCCAGCTGTACTGTGAGAAGGTGCAAGCTCTGATGAAGGAGTATCTCCTGTCCTTCCCCACAGGTACCAGTTCTCATCAAAAGCCAGGAGCCCTCAGGTCTCAGAGGCGAGCACAGACCCGAAGGTGCAATGTGTGGTGTCAGGAAGCAGATCTTACCCTTTTCTGTGGGCTCAGCTGGGCAGGAGGTTCTTTAGAGGAGTTTGGGTAGCCGAGCCCTGGAACGTGTGGATCTGGCCATCTCTAAGCATCTTGGGAGTTGCCCTAGGAGATGTGGGAAGGATCAGATCTGGCTGCTAGATGACAGCTATGCTGATGAGAGACAGGTTTGCCTACCAGATCCAGCATGTGTTTTTACCTCAAGCTGAGTGTTGGGGACCATAAGACTATGGTCGCTGTGCTCACATCCTCAAACTCTTCTCCTGCTTTATGCCACTTTCCACGTTGCTGCCTGATGAGGGTCTTCTCTCATGTGGAGCTTGGTTTCCTTAAAGGCAAAACTCCCGTCCCTGCTGGAGAGGAAGAGGGAGAGCTGGGAGAATACAGGCAGAAGCTGCTCATGTTCTTGGAAATTTCCTGCTACTATGATCCAGGCCGGCTCATTTGTGATTTTCCTTTTGATGGTGAGTGTCTGTCTGGTTTGTGGCCAGAAGCCGCTTCAGCTGAAGGTAATGTAAACACCATTCTTTACAGTTCTCCAACCCACCTGAAGCTTGGGCTGGGGAACAACCAGGTCTCCAGGCCTATACTCCTATTTGGTCCCCTCTGAAGACTCCCTATTGTCCCGGAACTGGGTGTGAACTGCATGCTGATGCACAGCAGGCCGGGACCTGCTGATTGCTGCAGGCCAGCCTCACTGGTTAGCACTTTGTGCAATTTAGAATAATTCATCTGAATGAGTGATGTGTAAGCACCATGTCAGCAGAGTGTTTGCTTACTTTACTGAAGTGCCTGTCACATGAGCTCAAATACCTCCTCACAATAGCTTCCTCTTGCTTTCTAAAATTTTAGTGATTTTTTTCCTTGAAGCAAATCTCAAGTAGAAAAAAATAATATTCTCTCCCATTTTGTATTGCCTCCGTATCCCTTCCTCTTAACGATTTAGTCCCTGACCTCATGCTTGCATAATGCTGGTGACAGCTCCTTAAATTACTTTTGTCTCATAGGCCTCTTAGAAGAGCGAGCTCTCCTCTTGGGACGCATGGGGAAACATGAACAAGCCCTCTTCATCTATGTCCATGTCTTGAAGGATACCAGGATGGCTGAGGAGTAAGTTGACCTGTTATCTCACCTCCCCGTGGCCTGCAAGAAGGCCCTAAAGAGAGGGCTGTGTGAGAGACCTAGAGAGCCATCTCCCCACTGCTCTGCAGCAGGGCTGAGACCCACCCCTGGTTTTTCCTGGGGTGACTTCAGACTGCTCTCCTCTGACCCTCCAGCCTTGTCTCACCTCTTTCTCCTCTGCAGGTACTGCCACAAGCACTATGACCCAAACAAAGATGGCAACAAAGATGTAAGTAGCGACTCTGGCCCCAGGGAAGCAGCTGTGCATTTGACTGCCCCTCTTTGTGTGCCTAACCCCATTGGCTTAGCTACAGGTGACAATGGTGTGAATTGTTGAGGTGAAACAGAGCACAGTTCTTCTGGGCCAATTGATTTTGTTTGTGTACTGAGAGGCAGGGTACCATATGCCCCGAGTTTGCTTGGATGGTTCTGGTTTACACTTGTCTCAGCATAACTTTATTCTGAAGAGATCCTAGTGCGAAGGAATGTCTTGTGGTTGATTTTTCACATTTTCAGTTGCCAGTTTGACTGACTTTACCAATATCTTTAAAAGGTGAAAAGTGATGAATTTTAATGCTTGATGAGAGTTACTGCTTTAGACTGAAACCCTTGAATAGGTGTGATCAGTGCTGGGGGTTTCTGGGAAAGTTGCTGGTCGGGCCCCAGAACCCTGACCTGCATGCCTTGTATCCGTGAGGCAGGTGTATCTGTCCTTGCTGCGGATGTACCTGTCACCCCCCAGCGCTCACTGCCTGGGGCCAATCAAGCTGGAGCTGCTGGAGCCACAAGCCAACCTCCAGGCCGCCTTGCAGGTCCTTGAGTTGCACTACAGCAAACTGGATACCACCAAGGTCAGCAGCTCTTCCCCAGGGAGGTGGAGGGCGTTTGCAGGAAACATAAATTGAGAAGAGGGATGGAGAAAGGGTCTGGGAATCCTCAGTCTCACGCCAGGTCCTCACTCTGTTCCCAACTGTGTTTCTGTCTCTAGGCCCTCAACCTTCTACCAGCAAACACTCAGATTAATGATATACGCATCTTTCTGGAAAAGGTCTTAGAAGAAAATGCACAAAAGAAGCGGTTCAATCAAGTACTCAAGAACCTTCTCCATGCTGAGTTCCTGAGGGTATGGACTTTCAAAGCTCTAGGATGGGGCTTCTTTCTGTCTTTCAGTAAGACACCAGGGGGAAAAAAATCCACCAAAAAACCAAACTAGTTGTGGTTGAGTTGATTCTGATGCATTTGCTTCTGAGGGTTTTCAGTGGCTGATCTTTTGGAAGTAGATCACCAGGCCTTTCTTCTGACGGACCTCTGAGTGGATTCTAATCAGCCTTTCTGCTGGATGGTTGAGCACTTACCCACCTGTGTAATGTAGGCTTGCTGCTGATCCCATGTCCCATTCACACAGAGGCAGAGCTTCATGTTGCTGTACTCTGAAGCTCAAGCTGATCGATCCAGCATCTGTTTTGACATTTGATTGTTAATCCTTCAATTAGAGTAGTCTCTGAAGGCTGAACTCTGAGACAGTGCTGGTCACTGCCTTTTTCTGTGTGCTGGACTGTGGTGCTCCTCCCCCTTCTTGCCTTCTAGGTCCAGGAAGAGCGGATTTTACATCAGCAGGTGAAGTGCATCATCACAGAGGAGAAGGTGTGCATGGTGTGTAAGAAGAAGATAGGGAACAGGTGGGTCTCCTCCCCAGCCTCCACATCCCACCTCTGATCTGAGCTCATCCAACCTCAGGGCTGGCAGGAGGTGAAGCACAGTCGGCTGCCACCGTGGGTGAGCGTTGCTCGGGCAGAACTCCTGCCCTTTCATCAAAGACCACAAGTGCCTGCTGCTCACTACCCTTGCTTCTTTTAGTTCTTTAAGAAACTTTGTATTGCTCCTTTTAGTAGTTGAGTCTCCAGAAAGCAAGTCTGTCTTAACTCTTGGAGGTGGGTTTTGAGAACTTAGAGACCTGTGTGGCTTGAGGCTGTCAACCTCTTGTCAGAAAGCCCTTCACCTCTGGCAGCTAGAAATTACTCTATGGCCACTGGATTGGTAGGAGTGATGTGTGGTATGAACGTCCAGCCAGTGGGCCGTATAAGGCCCATGAAATCATTTGGTCTGGCCCTGCCAAGGCACCCACAGTTCCAGCCATCACGTTGTTGTTATGTGCCATGGAGTTGGTTCCGACTCATAGTGAACATGTACAGGGTTTCTGAGGCTGTAAATCTTTACAGAAGTAGAAAGCCTTATCTTTCTCCCATGGAAGAGCTGGTAGTTTCAAACTGCTGACTGTGACGTTAACAGCCCAATTCGTAACCACAAATGCTACCAGAGCTCCTTAGTCATCACATTGGTTGGTTGGTTATGTGCCATGGAGTTGGTTCCCACTCATAGCGACCCTGTACAGGGTTTCCGAGGCTGTAAATCTTTAGGGGAGCAGAAAGCCTCATCTTTCTCCCACGGAACAGCTGGTAGTTTCGAATGCTGACCTTGCAGTTCATAGCCCGATTCGTAACCACTGCGCTACCAGAGCTCCTTAGCCATCACATTAGGGGTGAGTTAATTAAATGTTTGACCAAATATAGCAGGCTAATTTTTAAAGTTGATAGAACTTTTGGCAAAAAAAAAAGGTCCCCCACCCCTGCTCTAGAATCAAAGAATGATCTTACAGTCGATCAACTGGAGCACTGTCCTCAGCCAGTATCCTTCTGTTTTAAGACACATACTCTAGTTGATCCCCCGTCATTCAAGGGGGATAGATTTGTCCTTTTTTTTTGATAATTTACACAGGAGAACATTAGCTTTACATTCATCCTATCGTGTATCATTTCATTGCCATGGTTACAATCCCCTCCATGCATCATCAACCAACCAAAGGGTATACCCCACAAGCCTGCCCCTTGGTCATCAGCATACAGCCCCTCTCCCTCCCTTGGTCTAGAGTCCCCAGCCGCTCCATCTCTCCATGCCATTGTCTCTGCCTCCATCTCTGGTGTCACTGTGTCTCTGGGTAGGGTCCCATACTCTGCTCTTCTCCCTTGATGGTCCCAGGGACCTCCGCTCCTAGACTGCAAATTCAATCGCTCCCCTCCTTTTGCTACAAAATGTCTACCTTTACATTCCCAACCCTCACAATCAGTCCTGATAACAATTATTCACTATTGTCCCACAAGAGACCTATCTGCATCTCCTTTCATCAGCCCCACCAGACAGATTGGATGCTACTCAGTGGAGGTTCTACCTCCCTCTGTGCCCTCTGGATCTAGGCTCCCTCTTGAAAGCTTGTAAGCTAGTCACTTCTTGCCTTTGTAACCCTCCTATTTTGGGTAGCCAATGTCCAAGTTGCCCATCCCTGTCTACTCTGTGTATGGAGGGGGTGGGAATGATCTTGCTGTAAAGATTTGTTCCCTCTTTTGAGCTACTGCATCCATAGGTGTAGGTCAAGTTCATCAAATTGTATCAGATTACTTTTTTTTTCCTCTTTCTTCTAGTTGAGTTCTGATCATCCAGTCATTGAAACCAGGTCTCTTGTGGTATAATAGTAAATAATTGTTATCAGTCAGTGGGTATTATTTGCAAGTGTGGGTGTTCTTATGCACATGCCCTCTCTTCTTATCAGCTGGACACTTCACTGTCCACTCTAGTTTTCTGTGGGTATGTCACTAACTCTGGGCCCAAGAGTCCCCAGGTCTTGCCACACTCCTGGCCAACCAGGTCTCCACTCAGGTTCACAGGAGTCTATTGAACATTCTAGGGCGTAGCTCGCAGCTTCATTGCTGTTTTTCCCTCACTTCTCCTTATCGATGATGAACGTACGTGGTCACCAATCAGAGTGCATGTCTACTCCTGTGTTCCCATTGAGTCTTAGTCTTGGAAGTGGGTTTGCCCTAAGAGGACCCGACCACTTGCCTTGATGTCTCCTGGGCAAGCAACTTGCTTGTTCTTTTAGTAATCAGTCTGGATGAGCCAGATACAAGCTCCAGACCCAGCAGAGAGCAAGCAGTCGCTGCCTGAACGTCCATTATATTGGAAGCAGGCCATAGCCTTGAGGAAACATTGGCTGCTCATAGCAGACCTCATCACAGAGTTAATTACATTCTATTAGATTTCATTATGAGAATAACTACATCTCAACTGCCAAACCACTAAGAATCCTGCCCCAGTCAAATTGAAGGCACTTAACAACAACAACAACATGCCCACAGTGTGGCACTTCACCCTCTTTTGGTCATTTGGCAGAGATGATGACTACCTGGATCCACAGTCTGTAGGGACAGGCTGTTCTGTGTGGTGATCTGTTCTGTGTGGTGGGGTGGTTCTGGGCAAGGTGACTTTTCCAGTTGCTGAAGTATCTTCTCTCAGGGGCAGCTCCTATTCCCAAGCTGTTTTCTTTCCCTGCAGCGCATTTGCAAGATACCCCAATGGAGTGGTCGTGCATTACTTCTGTTCTAAAGAAGTGAATCCGGCTGACACCTGAGCCCAGCATGTTAAGGATCACAGATGGACAGCTCACCCTCCCAGAGGATGAAGGAGTGCCCGGCCTCAGGGATCGGGGGCTGCCACCCTCGGGTGTCTCATTTGCACACTACGGGACACCTTGCACCCTGGAGCATCTCTGAATTTATCAGACTTGTGGTCAGGCATTGCCAGCTTTTTAATAGACAAAGGGATTCGTTACACTTTATACCATTATGTTGCGGGCAATTCCAGATAATTTATTTACTACTCACTTGGACAGGAGAAGGTGGGGGAAGTGTACTATCTTGCCTTTGCATCCCGATCACCTGAATAAGAAAACTTCTCAAGTGTTTGTAACCAAGGATAGTTTATGTAGTTTTTCTACTAAGTGCATGCCTTCACAAGGGCCCCTCAGCATGGCTGACTGGAGAGTCCTTTGAGAGAACAGCACTTACATACACCAAACGGCTCGTTTTCTATGAAATGGCACTTGTTACTTCATGGTAGCTCTAATTCTGGAACCCCAAATAGCCCCCGCTGCCTCTTTGTTTCTCAGTCTCTTTCTCACTATTTATTTTTGTCCTTTATCTCTACACTCTTGCCCCAGTTTTGTCCCACTTTCCTGACTCCAGGAATAACTAATATTTAAACAAGGGAACCATCTCCATTTTGAGGAGTGCATTGACACGGATGGTCATGTTCATTGTAAATAGACCGTCTCTGAACTGCGCCCTCACTCTATGCTGAGCAGCTTAGGAGACTGCACTCTACTTAAGGACGTTCTTTTGTGTCCTATTTTAGGGGCATTCTTTTCTGCCCCGCTCCCTAGGGCTGAACCAGCACCGACTTGGGTACATGACTTCTTTTGAAGGGATTGGAGGAACACACTAAGGTTTTGTAGGTAGGTGGATCATGTGAGCAGCTTACAATAATGTCTTGTGTGCTTGGGAAGTGTTCAGAGACAGCAGAGACCAGCAGCACATGGGCTTGTAAACTGACAGACCACCACATCTGTTCAGCCTGGGGGGCAGGAGCAGGAAACTGCCTGTCAGAGTGCTCTTGAGATACAGTGTGGAGTTTCTTGCCCCGGAGGCTGAGACACGTGCATCCTGTTCTCCCTGGGTGCTTGCGGATCCACAGTCTTGTTGCCCCAGTACCTTTAACCAGAGTGAGGGTGGGTAGCAGTGCTCCAGTGTTGACACTTTTAGCATTTGACAGGCTGCGATCCTTTTTAAAGCACAGCTGTGTGCTTGTCTGTGCCCTGTGTTGGAGCAGGCCTGCTAGGGATGCTAATGGTAGGCTCAGCTCCCCTGAGCACCCTCTGTGGAGGCTCTCAGACATTGGAGATGGGAGAGGAGACATGTAGAGAAAGAAAAGCCACAGCTCCACCTGACCAGACCCACCCATGGGCTGTTTGCGCTAGCTGCACTGTACTGCCTTCGCTGTAGCCGACAGACCATCCTCAGCCCGACAACAGAAACGTGCCCTACACGTGACCCTGCCTTCCTGGCGTGCTGCGTGTGCATCTTCACCCTTACTGTGTGGCAGATAGAACAGAGAATGTGGTTTCTGTTTTCCTGAACACCACTGTTTGTTTCTGAGACTGTCTGCCCTGAGGGTACGGATGAGGGTGGAGATGAAAGCTCTGTAATGAATGAGGCTTGATCTCTTAACTGTTCCTCATCATAAAATAATAAAAGTATAAAAAGCCAAGCCTATTTGTGTCTCTTTTTTACCCCTCCCTTGGAGTTTGATAAAAGCAGCATTGAAATGATAGTAATTTAAAAATGGAGAATAAATATACCAATTAACAGACTTTTGTTGTTGTTGTTGTTATGTGCCGTGGAGTTGGAACCGACTCTTAGCGACCCTGTACAGGGTTTCCGAGGGTGTAAATCTTTACGAGAGTAGAAAGCCTCATCTTTCTCCCGCGGAGCAGCTGGTAGTTTCGAACTGCTAACCTTGCGGTTCACAGCCCGATTCGTAACCACTACGCTACCAGAGACAGGAAAAAAAAAATCAGTACAGGTAGTCCCTGATTTATGACATATTCAAGTTATAAACTGCATTTACAACTAATTCTTGTTTAATTTTTGTTTGGGGTAGAGAGTACATCTTATCATTAGTAATATGTATAATGTTGCAGTACATAACTTGCTGATACCATTCTCATGCCAGCTCCCAAAGAAAAAGATTATATTTATAAGGATGATGGTGGTGGTGATTATGTGCCGTTGAGTTGGCTCCAACTTGGAAAAACCATGTGGGATCATGTCAGACTTCCTGGGCTTCACAAGGGGGAAAGAGAATCAAACTCAATCAGCCCAAGGTCAATTCCTATGAAGCAGAGGTCAGACATGCTTCCACCTGTTCTGACACCAACCACCCCTCCCACAACACTCTGCTTCACATCTGGGTCTGATAATCGGTTGCAGTGGTCACATAGAATTCATAACAATACTCAGGATTATAGGGTTTACTAGGGAAGTGGATGGGGTACATACAATTCAGGATCAACAATTCAGGAAGCAGCAGTTTTCCAGTCAGGAACACCTCTGCCATACTGCAGCCATGCTTCACTTGTGGCTTCTGATTCTCAGCCATGTGGCCTCTTATGGATTCTCAGTCCATGGGCTTAGAGCCTGCAGCTGCTCTGTTTCCATTTCATGGCCTCTGCCATTCCTACTTTTCTAGTTCGGGAATCTCACTCCACTCGTGCTCTTCTTCCTTGATGGTTCAGGACTTGTCCGTTTAAACCTAGCTAGATGGCAAAGCTAACTAATCCCAGCTTTAGAGCCCTGTAGACCTTATTTGCACAGCCCCACCCAACCACATGGTAGGAATTAAGACATTGAAAAGAACGGAAGCAGAAAGTCTTATCTTTCTCCCATCAAAACAACTGGTGGATTCAAACTCTACACTTGAGGTTAGCAGTCCAGCTCATAATCCATCCACTATGCTGCCAGGATTCCGTATAAAGATACTGGTAATAATGAAAACTAAAACAAAAAAAGGTATTCAGTGTATGTCAAAGACATCTTACAAAGGAAAAGTCCCCCGTGGTAAACCAGGGACTACCTGTATAACACTTGTGTTATGTGTCATGTACTATGTCTAGATCTGTGCTGTTAAGTGTGGTAGCCTTTAGACACAAGTAGCTATTTAAAGTTGAAATAAAATTCCATGTGTTAATTGCAGTAGCCACATCTCAAGGTTCTAGACTGCACTGGAACCCTAGATAATCCAAGTGGGGCCTACTGCCTCTTCTAGCTCATGATAACCAGAATGGTCATGTTAAGGGGACGGAGTTGGTGTGGGTGAGGGACCTGAAAATGTTCCAGAAGTGGAGAAGTATTGGCCTACCCTGGCCAATTCCTAAAAAGACACTTTGATCTTTATGTATTATCTCCCTCTTGAACCTGCTATGACCATCTTGAGGTTTTGAGAATAAAAACCAGCTGGAACAGAGTCGTTACTATTAAGGCATGGAACAAATGAGTTCCAGAAGAAAGAGAGATTGTGTAACTGAGCAATCACTTGAATCAGTTACGGGCTAGGCCTGTGACTCCTCCTTCTCTGTGTCTCAGGCTGCTCTCTTTCTGGACCCAAGGATTCACTGCATATATTTATGGAGATTACCAAGAGGCTTGAACTCTATTTCTGAGATCCCGCCCCAGAACTTGACTTCACTTTTCAAACGAAGCAGAAACAGGCGCTCCCCTTAGAACCCAGCCACCAGCAGACACATCCCCTTTTATTCCAGGAATGTCTGGTCTGAACTTGCTCAGTGGGTTCATGTTGGAGTTGAATCACCTCTTTGGATGTTGTTCTGTTAGCCTCCAACTAAGTAGGCCTTGAGGAGGAATGTAGAGATGACTAGATCTTGGTTGAGAACAGAAATGCCCAGAAACCTTTCTTCTGGAGACTGCCTGTCCCAGCCACATGGTCCAGAGAGGAGGGGGTTTTGCATGTCATCTGCAGCCTGAGACTTAGGATGGTTAGATGAGGAAACTCAAAAGCCTTTATCTCTAGTAGGTCAAGACCAGGCAGACCTGTTTTTCACTTGTCCTTACTGATACTGCATGACCATAGCGGACCCTCACCTCTGTATCTGGCCCACGCAGGAGTTCCCATTATCCAGGAGGAGGGCCTTCCTCACCTTTTGTATTCCTGGATCTAATATGATCTGAGACATGACAGAGTCAGTAACTGGGAAGGAAATAAAGGGAGCCCATGAGCAATTAGAAATACCTCTGAATCCAGCTAAAACATGGAACCAGACAGTCTATGTTTCTGCCAGGCTGTAGGGAAGGTGGCACTTGAAAGGCAGCTGGAGTTGTTAAATGTCATCAAGTCAGTTCTGACTCAGAGCAACCCTGTATAGAGTTTCTGAGGAGCAGTTGGTGGGTTTGAACTGCCAACCTTGTGAATCACAGTCCAGTGCTGATCCTACAGCACCACACCAGGAGTCCTAGACTTTCTCAATACCGCTAAACTTGTCTCTAACCCAGCACATCCCAGCTGCTGCTCCATAGAGAACTTGTTGGAAATAGGAACACTTGGAAACACATGTACAAAACCATCTGGGGTGAAGCTTAGTTAACCTATTTTTCACAAAAGGCCTAATTGATAACAAGGCAGCTGGGTTTGGGAAGCACAATGCTAGTTTCTTATCCTCTTGGAGAGGGGTATATCCTCTTGGAACTAACTCCTGCTTGAGGAATAGGACCCAGTCACTTCCTGGTGCACTTCAGACCCCACCTCCAGCTTTTGAGGGCCACCCAGCCCTGACTCTGCAGCTCAGCCCCACCCTCTTCACCCTAGTGCTACCTGTTAGACCTGAGTTGGAGGGAGTATAGCAGAGGAGAGTGGAGTGAAGGAGAGGCAGGGCTTCCTACCAGGCCTGGACTGCTCAGCCATGCTCTGGGCGCTCTGGTCAGGATGCCTGGCAGGCCGGGGGCTGCCCCTCCTAGGGGCAGTGCTGCTGCGGAAGAGAGAGAAGAGGAGACTTCATTGGAGTCATGGGCAGGTAAAGTACAGATCTCCCTGGGAAATATGGTCTGGAGAAGTTCTGGGAGACACAGCCCCTTGTCAGGACCCACATTAAATATTAACCCCAGCCCTCAGACGGTTTTGATCTGGGGTGGGCCCTATTTGTTCCCAATAACCTTGCAGAGCTTAAATTAGAGACATGCCCAGGACCTTGACTCAGCTCATACAATTAAGAAATGACAAGTGAAATCACTTGAAACTTGCATTGGTTGGTTGCTTTTGCCAAGGAAGCCAGACAGAGCCTGGCTGTGGGGTCCACTGGGGAAAGAAGCCGGGAGGAACTTGCTGGGATTCCGAGGGGACCGTTTCACTGTGAGGAGCCAAAGAGTGGCACAAATGATTAAGTGCTCCACTACTAGCCTTAAGGTGGGTGGTTCAAACCTACCTAAAGGTACCTAGGAAGACAACCCTGGCAATCTGCTTCCAGAAGGTCACCAACCTTGGAAGTTCTGTGGAAAACAGTTCTTCTGTGACACAAAGTTTTACTCTGAGGAGGCTCTAATCAATGCCATCTCTCCAGAGCCCAAGCTGCAGTCTCCTTAGTCTCTTAGTGACTGAGTAGTCAGACTGGGACACGTTGGGTGATCTTGGTTTCCCTTCAACTGCCTGCTGGAGTGGGGTGGATCACAACTTTCTCTTTCAGTATTTAATCTCCTTAAACATAGAGCTCCGGCTTTCACTTCTGCTGTCAAGCTACAGTGGGTGCCTTGTAGTCTGGTGGAGTTGTAACCGTGTGGTGAACAGTAATAACGAGTATGAATGGCTACGTATTTCAAGCACTTACTTGGGCACTTCATATACATTCTCACTTAAAACTCACCATGACTCAGATTATTATTATAAACCCTACTTTATCTACAGGAAAACTGAATCATAGAAAACTTATTGCCCTGGTCCACTCAACTAGTCAGTGGTGGGGTCGAGATTTGAGCCTAGGTCTGACTGATCCCAGGGGCCAGGCTTGTCGCCAGTGTGAACTCCCAATGCCTGGGCCCTGCCAAGGGTCTCTATGTACCCAGTACAACTTTATCTGTGAGCCGGGGCCAGGCTACTGCGTGTGGCATGGGTTTCCAGGAGCTGAGGCCCCAGAGCTCTGTTGTTTCAGCTGGAAACCCATCCATATTACGACCTCCAGGTGAAGGTGCTGAGGGCCAGAAACATCCAAGGCACAGATCTGCGTGAGTGACCCCATCTCTACTCTCCTGCCTGCCCTGGGGCCCCCTGAGCTCAGTGGAGGCAGGCCTGATTTGGGGTATAGAGCATAGGCCGAGCCTCTAGGCAGGTGGGTGGCTGAGGCTGGAGGGGAGTTGTATGGATCCTACACTCCCCCTAAATACAAGAAGTGAAGCACAGTGAGCCAGGTGAGAGGGTGAGGCCCTCTCAGAAGCTCTTCAGTCAATGACCAGGGAGTGATTTCATTGCTTGAATCAGGCAGTTTCCAGGAATTACTCAATGCTGGTCTTTTCAACTGGCCACTGCAGGATTTCTGGCTTTGTTCAGTTGAATGGGAGGTGTAAACAGTCAAGGTGGAGTTACAGGTCACCACAGTTCTGGTTTCTCCCCCACACTCCACCATGCAGCAGGTGCCTCTCCCCACTCTGCTCCTGCTCCTCCCCCTCCTGCCCCAACCTCTTCAGGAAATGCTTTCAGCAATAAGAACTTGGGGCTCAAGTCCCTTACCCTGTCTATCTGCAGTGTCCAAAGCTGACTGCTACGTGCAATTGTGGCTGCCCACAGCATCTCCCAGCCTGGCCCAGACAAAGGTGGTGGCCAACTGCAGTGACCCTGAGTGGAATGAGACCTTCCACTACCGGGTCCATGGTGCTGTTAAGGTCAGTGAGAGTGAGAGTGAGAGTGAGGGGTGGAGGCTGTGGAGGGAGAGGGGTCTTCCAGGATACCTACCCTCCTGCCCTGTTCAGGCTCCAGCTTCCCACCCGTGTTGTTCCTAGAACGTTCTGGAGCTCACCCTCTATGACAAGGATGTCCTAGACAGTGACAGACTCTCCCTGCTCCTGTTTGACTTGAGGAGCCTCAAGACCGGCCAACCCCACAGGCACACCTTTCCACTTAACCACCAGGTGAGTCTCTCTGCCCTCCCTGTGCTGGTGGTGTGCCACAGTCAAGAAGAGGAGGACTAGTACTGAGGTGCTGGTGAGGGGCTCCTGACCTCCAAGACAGACACCCCTCCATTGGTTGCACTGACCCACAAAGACTCCCTCCAATGCTTCTTCCCTGCGTGAAGCCAGGGGGTGAGCTCTGTGAAGGCAGAGCTTTGTGCGTCTCAGTCACTGCTGAGCCCTCAGCATCCAGAACAGTGCCTGGTACATAAATGAATAAGAGAGCGAGGCTCTGTGTGGAGGTGCCACTGCCCTTCCTGTGACCACGAGGAGTCACACCAACAGTCTCCTCTTCAGGAGTGGGGGTCTTCAGGGGAGGGACGGTCCCTGAGACTTGGAGAGTCCTTTGTAAACTGGTGCTATCCTGCCCTTCTATGTAGGATTCACAAGAGCTGCAAGTGGAATTTGTTCTGGAGGAAAGGTGAGTCCACGTGAAGCCCCCATATGCCCATTTGATCTGAGTCTCAGCAGTTCCCAGCTGCCCACCACCATGCCCTGTGCTGGCCTTCCAGGCCTGGCCTGAGAGGAGCTGGCCTGGTCTGGAATTTAATTTGAGTGTTGGTCAACAGGCTTATCCTACCCTCAAGTGTGACCGGCTGCTATGGTCACATCAGTAAGGTGGCAGCCATTAGGTGGCAGCCACTGAGAGGGTCACATGTTCCATAAGTGTCTCATCCTTTGCAGCCAGGTGCCTGCCTCTGAAGTCATCACCAATGGGGTCCTGGTGGTGAGTAGTGAAGGGGAGCTCAGGCTGCCGAGGGATGGGTGGGGGGCAGTGAGGCTTCCATGACTGAGCCCAGTTGTGCCGAGTCTCTAATCTCTGAAGGAAACTCCACCTCTCCTCAGAGGGAGATGTGCTAGGGAGGCCTGTCCAGCTGCCTCACCCCTAGAATCCAGCCTTCGTGCCTTGTGGTGATGTAGATGACAGATTTCATAGCAGTCACCATCATGGTTCCCCTGAGTCTTTGGAGGAGAGACTGACTGAGTGACCTTTGGGCCAGCTACAGAGACCCCTGCCTGTGTGAAATAGGCCCTGGGAAGGTTGTTATGTGGACCCTACTCCAAGTGCCCCCCTTCCCTTCCATCTTGGCTCCGGTTCTGGTGCTGTTGGCTCCTACAGACCTCTGTTCCTTTAGGCTCAACCCTGTCTGAGAATCCAAGGCACCCTTGGGGGACATGAGACAGCCCCACATCGAGAGTATGGTGAGTTTGGTCAGTGACCTTGGGTTTGCCTTCTCTCTCAAAGGCTGGGAGTACCAAGTTCAGAGAGGTGGTCTGGGAGAGAAATTCCTGGAAATTGTTACTGCTCAAAGCTAACCAAGGATGGAATGGCTTGCCTCTGGAAGTAGTGAATTTCTTGTCCCTGAAAGTGTTCCAGCACAGAGGCTGTAGTAGCCAAGTGACTGTTCTTACAACAAGTAACCACAAAATCTCAGTGGTGTACAACAGCAAGCATTTATTTGACACCACATGACTGATCTGGGCTGGGCTTAGCTGAGGGCTTTGTCCCATGTATCTTTGACCTGGATGTGTTCTTTTTTTCGTGTAGCCATAGGCCTGCTATGGGTCGGAACAGACTCAACAGTACTTAACAACAACAACAACAATGGGCATGCAACAAAACATTAGCCATTTCAACTATTTTTAGATTTATAACCCAGCCACACTTCCCATGTTCCATTCCCATCACCACTATCCATTTCCAAATCTTGTCTTTCTCTCTCATTTCTTTTGTCCCCCTCTTCTTTCTTTTCCTTTTTTTTATTTGCAGAAAAGTTCCCAATGGTTCGTCCTATACATATATATTGTTTCTCTTCTTGTTGTTAAGCATCCTCCAATTGGTTCTAATCATGGCTACCCTATATAGGGCTTCCAAGGAGCAGCAGGTGGGTTTGAACTGCTGACCTTGAGGTTACTAGTCCAGTGCTTATCCTATAGCACCACACACACATACAAAACAGACCAAAAAGAAGCAATTTCCTTATTTATTTTTTTGCTTTCTTTATGTTGAAGCATAATCCATACTGAAAGCACTGGTCTTTGATCTTCATTAGTAAGTGCTTTAAGTCTTTCAAATTTCAGCAAGGACACTCATGCCATCTGCATAATGTAGATTATTAATACGTCTTCCTCCTATTTTGGTGCTATGGTCTTCTTCATATTGCATAGGTTTTTTTTTTTTTATGTTTTATTGTGAATTATGTGATAGTTTACATGGGAGAACATTAGCTTTATATTCATCCTATCATATATTGTTTCATTGCCATGGTTACAATCCCCTCCATGCATCATCACCCAACCAAAGGGTATATCCTACAAGCCTGCCTCCCTGGTCATCAGCACACAGCCCAGAAGCAGCAGTCAAGAGATCAGACGACATAATGCATTGGGCAAATCTGCTGCACAGGAACTTTTTAAAGTGTTGAAGAGCAAAGATGTCAACTAGAGGACTAAGGTGCGCCTGACCCAAGTCATGGTATTTTCAATAACCTCATATGGATGTGAAAGCTGGACAGTGAATAAGGAAGATCATAGAAGAATTGATGCCTTTGAATTATGGTATTGGAGGAGAATACTAAAAGTGCCATGGACTGCCAAAAGAACCAATAGATCTGTTTTGGAAGAAGTGCAGCCAGAGTGTTCCCTGGAGGCCAGGATGGCCAAACTTTGTCTCTCATACTTCGGACATATTGTCAGGAGGGACCATTCACTGGAGAAGGATATTATGTTTGGTTAAGGTAGAGGGTCGGAGAAAAAGAGGAAGACCCCCAACGAGATGGATTGGCCAAGTGGCAGCATCGATAGACTCAAGTGTGGCAACAGTAGTGAGGTTGGCCCAGGATCGGGCACTGTTTCATTCTGCTGTGCATAGGGTTGCTATGAGTCAGTGCTGACTCGTTGGCACCTAACAACAACAACCACCCCACAAGGTAGTACAATGATCCCCTTTTAATTTAAGGGAGTCCCAGCATAGTGTTGGCTGCCAACTGTCTGTTTGGTGGCTGGAGTTGATATGGAGACCTCAAAACTTGTATGAGTTATTTAGCTGGAATAAGGAGGAGCTGAGGTGGGGACCAGGTCTAGAAATCCATTTTGTATAGAAAACTTGTAGAACCAGAAAACTGATCTGGTTCTGCCTGCAAAGAACTCTATTGTTCTTTGTTTCTAAGGAACTTTAGTATAACTTGTACATTTCCAGGAAACAGTGTAATGTGACTGCTTTGTGAACCCTTGTGGTCACTAAGTGGTAGTTACTAAGTGGTAATCAACAAGGCATCCATATCACTAAGTAGTAACTATCTTACCACACTAAGCACCAAATAGGAGGCTGTTAGCTTGTTTCTAAAGAAGCTTTAAACAACACATTCCAGGAAACCTTAAAACAAACTATAACCCCCCAATCCAGAGTGCCCACAGACTCTGGATAACCCAATCACTGTAAAGATCCTGTCTTTGACAATAATGTATTAATGAATAATCAATCAGAATTTTTTTCAACTTGATTTCCTTCTGTAGCACTATATTGTTTTTATTGTGAAGTGCCATCAAGTCAGTTCAGATGCATAACATCCTGTATAGAGTTTCTGAGAAGTGGTGAGTGGGTTTGAACTACCCACCTTGTGGTTAGCAGTCCAGTACTTATCAGATAATGCCACAGCAGGACTCCATTATTTACTCTCTCCTGGTGTGGCGCTGTAGTATAAGCACTGGTCTGCAAGGTTGGTTTGAACCACCAGGTTGGCAGTTCAAACCCACCAGTTGCTCCTTGGAAACACTTTACAGGATCGCTATGAGTCGGACCTGACTCAGCAGCACTTAATAACCAACAACTAAATTCAGGAGCTTTGGTGTGGTGCTGTAGGATAAGCACTAAACTGCTTAAAGCAAGATCAGTGGTTCAAACTCACTTGCTACTCCTGGGAAACACCATACAGGGTTACTTAAGTCAGAACCGACTCGATGACACTTAACAACAACAACATTATATATACAGTATCAATAATGCAAATAACCTTCTGCATTTGTTTACCAACACCACCCACCCCTAGTGAGGCATCTTTGTAAGCACACTATGCTGATCTTTGTTTACAGCAAAATGTAAGAAAAGAGTGGTGCTGTGGTTTAATGCACTGGACTGCAAAGTTGGTTAGAACCGCAAGGTCAGCAGTTCAACCTCACCAGCCACTCCTCAGAAACTCTAAACAGGGTCACTGTGTTGGAACCGACTCGACAGCACTTAACAACAACAAATTAACTATATAAAAGAGCCTTGGTGGCACAGTCGGTTAAACTTTGGGCTACTAGCTACAAGGTTGGTGGTTCAAACCCACCAGTCATTCCTCAGGAGAAAGATGAGACTGTGTGCTCCCATAAAGATTTACAGGTTTGGAAACTGGAAGGAGCAGTTCTTCTCTGTTTTATAATCTCAAAATCACCAACCACATATACTAGAGGGCAGAGGCTCCTCCCCACCCCTACCCCCACCCCCTCATGGCTGTGGTCTACCTTCCCTGATTGTGTACCTTCCCAGGTACTAGTGTTTCTCCAATCTGATCAAAGCAGATAACGGAAGCCCAAGAGTCCTTCCTGATGCCTTTACCAGGGGTCCCAATGTCCGAGAGTGGCCAGGATAAGAGTCTGGGGTGCTACCACTGTGAGCCACACACATACCTGCTTTTAACCCTCACCTGGGCACTCACCTGGTTGCTCTGATCTCAGGCCATCGGCAGATCCGACTGGCAGTGCCTGGTGCCTATGAGAAGCCACAGCTGTTGCCCCTTCAGACTCCTGTGGAGCCTGGCTTCCCACCCACCTTTACTTTCCACATGAACCCTGTGCTGAGCCCCAGGCTAGAGGTGGAGCTGGGAGAGAAGCTCACAGTCCTGCAGGTAAATGAGCACGTGGCCCCAGTGAGAGCTAGGACCCCATCCTGTGGAAAAGAACTGGTCCAGGCTGGACTTGCATTTCAGGGCACCAGGGAGGCCCATTTTCCCCTGTTCTGGAGAGCTCCCTTGAGTGTTTTCTTGTTTGCAGAGTGACCCGAGTGCTGAGCTGGAGACCCAGGCCAGCAAGCTGGGTGAGGGGAACATCCTGCTCTCCTCTTTGCCCCTAGACCAGGAGAAACAGTGCTTCATATCCCTGGGGGAGGTAAGCAATTGCCAAGTGCTGGAGGGACCCCTGCCTACTCTGTGCCCACCAAGAGAGACCGGGGTGTGGGGGTGTGGGGGGGTGGGGAAGACCCTAGGAGGCTCAGAGTCAGGCCAGCCTGGAGCTCAGTTGTGGTATCCATAGTTGGGCCGGACTTACTGGAGCAACAGGGGCTGGCCTGGCGGAGAACAGTTTAATTGGGATGGGGTTGTGTCTTTTAGGGCCAGGAGGTGGCTCTGAGTGTGAAGGCAGAAATGAGGTGAGGAGGGAGCTTCAGGAAGACGGCCTCTTGGGGCTTGGCTGCAAGTGGTAGGGACATGTCCTGATATGTTCTGCTCTCTTGTTCACCTGGCTCAGGCTGTGGGGGCCATCTTTCACTCCTAATACTTGACTCAGGCGGGAAGCCCTTGGGATCTTTCTGAGGGGGTTCCACAGAGTATGTGTCTGCTCCTGTGACAACCGGACAACGTGGTTGAGTCTCCTCCACAGAGCAGTCACTCAGCCTTCCTCCCCATCCTGAGCAGCTCCAGGGACCTTGACCTGCGCCTTGGCTTTGACCTCTGTGATGGGGAGCAGGAGTTTCTGGACAGGAGGAAGCAGGTCGTGTCCAAGGGCCTACAGCAGGTGCTGGGATTGAGTGTGGCTCCTGACAGTGACCAGGTATGGAATTGTGTTTGTTTCTTGTGACTGCCATTACAAAGTACCACAAACCAGGTGGTTTAAAACAACAAAGTGCTACAAATTGATGGTCAGAGAAATCTGTTCTCTTGTAGTTCTGGAAACTGGAAGTTCCAAGTCAAAGTGTTAGCAGGGCCATCCTCCCTGTTCTGGGGAGAATTCTCTGTCTTCCAACTTCTGATGGCCTCAGGCATTTCTTGCCTTGTGGCAGCATAACTTGAATCTCTGCTTCCGTCTTCATTCACATGGCCATTTTCCCCTACTGTTTGTGTCTGAATTTCACTCTGGGTGGTACAAATAGCTAACAGTACTGAGCTGCTAACCAAGAAACAATTCGAAAGAAAGTCCTGGCAATCTACTTCAGGAAACATCAGTCACTGAAAACCCTGTGGAGCCCAGTCCTCCTGTGACACGCCTGGGACCGCCAGCAGCTAGAATTGACTTGACAGACTCCACTGTGTAGAATGAAGGTAAAGGAGGCACAACTAGCTCACAGGAGCCCAGTCTCATTCTGCACTCGGGATGAGCAGAGTCCTCTGTGAACAGCAGCCGCGGAGCGGTTTTTTAAGACAGGAGAAGAAAGCAGACGGGAAAGGAACCAAAAGTCTGGTGCAGAATGAGCTACCTTTTTATGCAGAAGCTGAGTGGCCAAAAGGTTCTAGTCTGATCCCACCAAGCCCCTCTAATCCTTGACTAATGCCTCACGTGTCCAGGCTGTTTGGTACTCTGTTACTTTTGCTTAGTGGTTCTCAACTGGGAGTCCTTTTGCCCCCAAGGGAACATTTGGTAATGTCTGGATACATTTTTTATTGTCAGGAGTGGGAGAAAGGAGCTATTACTGGAATGTAGTTGACCGAGGCCAGGGAAGCTGCTAAATAAACCTCCTATACCACACAGGGCAACCCCTACAACAAAGAATTATCTGGTCCAGCATATCTGTAGTGCTGAGGTTGATGACCCCTGTTCTAGCTGGTATAGGTAAATCATCCCAGACGTGCCACCTTTCCTTGTGTAATAGAGCCAGACTCCCTGATTTTGAATCTTAGCTCATCACTTTCTAGCGGCATGGTCTTGAGCATACCATCTCACCTTCCTGCGGCTCAGTTTCCTCATCTGTAAAATGAGGCTCTCATCAGGTTGCTGTGAGGATCATAAGCTAACATGGAAGGCACGTAGAACACTGTCTGACCCGTATGGACAATCTAGAGATAGTGGTAGGGGTTGACACATTGTTCTTCCTGTGTCCCAGGTGCCTGTGGTGGCTGTGCTGGGCTCTGGGGGTGGAACCCGAGCCATGTCTTCCCTGTATGGCAGTTTGGCCGGGCTTCAGGAGCTGGGCCTTCTGGACACTGTGACCTACCTGAGTGGTGTCTCTGGGTCCACCTGGTGAGTAAGGTGGGAGTGGGTACAGCGTAAAGGAGAGTGTTCAAGCAGGAGGGTCATGACCTGGTAACTTGATGGCCGGGGCCTGCAAACAAAGATGTTAGGAGGGACAGACTCTAAGGGGCTGAGGCTCAAGAGTCCTTCTGAGTGGGTGCTGAAGAACAGAGGATATAGGTCATGGGGAGGAAGGGGTGCTAACAAACCCTGCAATCCTTCTCCCTTTGCTGTGCCCACAGCCCCTAGCTCACAGGCATACCCTCCATCCCCAGGGGCATGTCCTCACTCTACAAAGACCCTGCCTGGTCCCAGGTGGCCTTGCAGGGATCCATTGAGCATGTCCAGGCCAGAGTCTGCAGCAGCAAGATCGGGGCGATGTCCACAGAGCGGCTACAATATTACATCCGGGAACTGGAAGCTCAGGAAAGCAGTGGCCAGAGTATTTCCCTCATAGACCTGTGGGGCCTCCTCATTGAGTATTTCCTGTACCAGGAGGTAAGAAGAGCAGGAAGTGGACATGGGCCCTCTCCACCCAGCTCCCCCAGCTCTTATTTCTGCTTTAGGCCCCAAGTCAATCCCTGAGATTTTCCATGCTAGCCCTGAGGTTTGAGCGCCTCTAGGGGAAGGGGTGACATTCCAGGATGGGCTGACACCATTTCATTTTTCCCAGGTGAGGGGAAGTATGGCCTGCAGTTCTCAGCTCTGTATTTTAGAATCATTTGTACAGATTTTTAAAAACACCCATGTCTGGTGTTTTTAAACACCAAGAGATCACTTATTTCAGTTGGTTTGGGGTAGGATCTAGCATAGTTATGTTTTGAAAGTGTCCCAAGTGATTCCAGATGCAGCTGAGACAGGTCACCACCTTTGGTTCATGCTGCCGTGACTCATGCCACCTGGCAACTTTCCCTAGAACTGCAGGCTAGGCATCTGCTGGAGAATGAGGGGGTCTGATCCCTGGTAGGAGGCTATCAGTGATGAGTGTATATCACAAATATTTCCTCATTCCTAAGGAAAGAATCCATGTTTTCTAGTGTTTTAATATTTTTCTTGTGAAAATATATGAGTATATAACACATTTGCTAATTCAACATTTTTCACATGTACATTTCAGGCACACCAATTACATCAGTCTGGTTGTGCACCCATCACCATAAATAGATACTCAAGCTCCCTTATCTAGTGATTTACTTTTTTTTTTTTTTTTTAATTTAAGGTTTTTGTTGTGGATTGAGTGAAAGTTTACAGGGCACATCATCAGTTTCACATTCAACAATTCATATAACTTTTTTCATTACATTGATTATAATCCCCTCCATATACCATCAGTTAAAAGTATTTCTCTCTATCTACTTTAGGTTTTTTTAAAAAACATACAAACAAAAAAACCCACTCAGGCATATATAATAAATTACATCTCCAAAGG